TCAGGTTTCTTCCCTCTAAAGTCACCTTACTCCCTTTGTCATTAATAAATATTTTGGGGGGGGGGGAGATTATTAGAGGCTAACTATTCTGTTCCACATTAGCCTTTCACGCACCAGTTTTAACATACATTGATGTTTCTTGGCGGCTTTAATTATTTCTGTGACTGTTGCCAAGTGGTGATTCTGTGATTCTATTACTCCTTTTACATTTATTGGTTGTCATTCTGCTGTAAGGAGAAGCTTTCTATTCTTCCAGTTTGTCCAGTCGTTTGTTTTTATATCAGCGGGCTACAATCATGACTACCATCATTTGTCTGGACTTGGGAAGTTTCCCCAGTTTCGGCCACTGAGCCCTATTTCCATGTGACCTTTGTGTCCATACAGCCTCATAAGTCGTTGAGAATGTTCTCACTTCCTGGTATAGCAGAATGGCCCAGGCTTACCTTGCACTTTTATCCAGCTCTACAATCAGTTGTTTCTCGAAGACATTGATTTTTTTTTTTCTCGAGAGTAGTACTTTAGAAATCCAGGTTTGGGTGCTACATATGCATTGTTAGCAGGTTGTCACTCTCCCAGGCCACTCTGAGGACAGAGCTGGGAAAATGTGTACGCTTATACATATGTACACATACTTATATTGATGTCTATATTTCTTTCTATTTCTATCATCTTCTATCCATGGGTTCACACCCATACCTCCAATCCTAGTCCCGTTCCACAAGGCTCGTTTTAATTTCTTCACTTTTCGTAGTTATAACTCCCTTTCCCCACAGTGAGGAATGGATCTCATTATCTTCAACACATTCGCTTATCTGTTGATCAATCCAATGTAATCAATCTCCGATTGACAGGGACGCCACTGCCCGGCACAGCCACTCCCTCCCCCGCCGCAGATGCCCACCCAGTCCGACCCGGCTCTGAAACTGGACAACCCCCCGCCTCTCTCTGAGCAGAGGCTCTCCTCACCCTGCCGGGCTTCCATGCCTCGCGCCAAGCTGCTGCCCCTACCGTCGTCCCCACAGATGCCCTCTGTCCCCAGCTAGGACTCCACCCTGAGCTCAGGTGCACCAACGCCCTGCACACACCCACACCGATGCCTGCCTTGCTCCATCCCACCTGACAGCTTTTGACTAAATTTAAGGCCAGCAGGTAGAAAGCATGGTATTCAGGCTAATGCTTTATTTTTTAAATATTTAAGTTGTTTCCAATTTGGGACACTTATAAATGGCTTTCTTATTACAGATCATTGATTTTTTAAAAAATAAATCTGCTACATAGTCATTTCCTTTCTTACCTCCTGAAACCATGAATAAAATACCAGTTCTCAGCTCTGTCCTCTGCCACCTTCTGCCTATTAAAACCTTAGAGAGATACTGGATGGAGAGTATATTGTTTAGATGGAGGTAAGATAGATTGAGTAGCATAATCCTTCAGTGCAGTTTCAGTAAACACTTGTATCAGCTCTTCTACAAAGCCATTTACCCTTCCTTATTTTGCCTCTGCAGACTCAACCGTCCAAGATGTCAAGTTTTTTATGTTTCCATGATATAATACCCAAACTCAATCCAGTCAGTTCAATGTCTTTTAACGTCAAAATAAATCACACTGATTATTTGATATCCACCAATATTGTTTAACATTATTTACATGAACACCTGGGAAGTTCACCCTGACTTCAATGCCGTAAGAAGGGCGTTTTAAAGGAAGTGGTGGTATGTTGTTTCCAGTTTTACGTCTTTCTACAGTGGTGGTGGTTGTTCCTCTTTTTATTTGGTAGGGAGACTTCATCTCAGGAAAAAAATACCCTGGAAACTCCCATGAAGAGAACATTGACATCAACTGAGTCATTTCCAAGTTTTTATTCATTTTCTCCTTATAGTGTGAGATATACTGACATCATATTAGAACAAAATATCCTAGAAATTCAGTTTCTTCAGAAATGTACGAATTTAGAAATTTTTTTCATTTGAGGGTCCTGGTTTTATGCCGATTTCCGTTTATACAGTTTTCCACCGTTCCTTACATTTCACAGGAGCCAGCTAAGTGTATAATACTGTTGTTACCCTTGAATTAATGATGAGTAAGTTAAAAGAAGTGATTCATTCTCACTTCAAATCCTTTTTGGATGAATCAATTGTAAACAAATCTGCATTCCTGGAAGTCTGAAAGTCTGTTCCATGGAATATAGGTCTCAAGAGATCGTCTGTGAAAAAATAGAGGGTTTAAAGGAGAATTATATGATTTTGAAAATGTTATTTCTAATGTTCCTTCTTAAACATTCACAAAGCAGATTAGGCTAACACAGACTCAGGGAAGTACAGAAATCCCTCTTCTTTGCTTAAATCCAGACTTTCCCATAAACTGAGCCCACGTCAGTGTGAGTGTGTGCACGTTTATGGGCATAATACCCCGGCAACAACCTGAGCAGCTGGGATGACATGGCACACTCTGCCCAATGCCGACTTCCACGAGTGGTGTGATCTGGCTGGTTGTTGGCAAACCGCTCACTGGAGTTAGAAGAGTGTCTTTCGCCTGTTGCCTGTCGCTACAGAATTATGCTTGACAATCCAGTCTAAAAACAGTCTCTCACAGCATAGGGAGGATTTTCAAGTGCCTGGATGAAGAATGAAAGGCGATCACTTGAGATCAGAGGCAAACTTGAGTTTCACTTTAAACTAGGACAGAACTGGGAAGGCCTAAATCATGTTGCGATAGGCCTGGGCTTCACCTGGATGTTCCTTTCTTTTTCCAGCTGGGCACCAAAGAAGGTTACCTCACCAAACAAGGCGGCCTGGTGAAGGTAAGGGGGTGTGTTTCTGCCAACACCTGACACAAAGAGAGAGTGTCATGTAGACTCAGCCCTCATGTGCACTTTTTAAAATGCACATCTGTGTACGCATTCTGACTCAGTTATAATATTGACATGTTTCAAGAGTTCATCTTTATGGCTAATATTTGTCAAAATTCTGAAAAATCACTTGACTATTCTTTGGCAAAGCCAAATGGCTGAGAGTAGAAAGAAAACACACAATCCTTTGAATGGAATGATTGAGGATGAAGGTAGCAAGTTAAGTCTAGCACATTTCTTGGATGTTTAAGATTTCTCAACAAAGAAGTCAAAATTGTATGAAATGTCTACCTAAAAGAAGGCTAGAACAACATCACAGGCAGTTATGTAACTATATGATAAAGTCCCCAAGAAAACAGAACTTAGGACTTTACTAGTTGGGGGTGGCCAACTGCCCTCCATTTATGTGACCATATCCTTAAAGTTACTTTGCTGCATTTTTCATGTACCAAAAAGACCTTCGTGGTTTATGCCTGCTGTTTTCCATTTTAAGGGTCAAGGCGCTTAACCTCTCAAGGGTCCTGGCCTGCTAGAATTCAACCTAAATATTTAGTTATTTGTGTCTCCACTAAACTGGATGCTCCCTAAGGAGAAATATTCATATTCATAGCATATTTGTTTTCAAGTCCACTCTTACTTCTTTTAACTGGGAACATTGCCTCCCAGGACAAGATCTGTGTTCTGTTGGTACATGAGAAGGAAACAGTTTTTCCACCAATGCTGTGGAATTCTTAGACAAGGTTTAGAATAGCATGTGGTTTGAGGTTCCTAAACCTCAATTTACTTATATATAAAACAAGAATAATAATAGTTGGCATTGTATGAAGATTGGCTCTAATATACACAGACCTCCAAGAATAGTATGTAGCCTGCAGTAGGTGCTCACAAATGACATCTGTTTTTATTATAGAGTTTTTTTTTTAATTGACATACAGTCAGTTTACAGTGTCGTGCTAATTTCTGGTGTGCAGCATAATAGTTCAGTCATACGTATACATACATATATTTGTTTTCATATT